ATCGTACGATTCAATTTACCGGTGATCATGCAATATATCACATAAATCCTTTAAATGATTTGATAAATTTTATAAAATCAAAAAATTCCGCCCGTATGACAGAGGAAACATAATTTGAAATCTAATAATTTTTTATAACTTTAAGTTGTAACTCTTCTGTAAATTACATGACTGTTTGAAAATTTTACTCGTTTGATCAGCGGAATCTATATTTAAACTGATACGTGACAATACCCAGATCTTATTTACAACTGTATTTAGATTAGAAAAAGTTATATGATATATTAAAATTATATATTTAAATTATAGAATTATATATTTAATTATATATTAAAATTATGCGGGGAATATTTTTCGTCATGGATGTTGATTTCATAGGCATAATTTTGGTTTGAAAACTTTTGTAACTGCCAGCGGCAATTATATTCGGCCATATTTTATCAAACTTTACTATAGATAATTGTGATCGTTACATAAAAAAATTGTCTATCTAACGTTCAAACGTATAAATTTGTACATAGTACATTGGATACTTTTTTGTTAAAGTATATTATTGTGTGTTCATATGATGATCATTGTATTACGTAAATTTTATTGATCATTTGTATATATATGTAAATAAACGCAATATTATGTGTTTGTTATCTAAAAATACGTATAAAATAAGAATTAAATGACATTTTCGGAACTACCTTTTTGACTCGATAATACAGTAATACTAATTAAATATCTAGAGATTCAAAACGTGATCATTAGTACATCAAAAACGTAACTTTCTTATCACTTTGACTGAACTTAGAATGTCCTCCGCTACGCTACTGTCCGCTACGCTGACTGCAAATCTTCCACATGTTTCTCATATTTTAAGAATCTTTTAAATTAGTATGAATTATTATTTATGGTTACAACAATTTTTCTCTTTATATATAAATTACCGTCTTTTTTATATAAATACCTCAGAAATAAACGAGATATCTAAATCTAAAAAAAAAAACAATTAATTAATATGTCACGACTTATTCTTCTTACACTACTCTTAATTTTTACCGGGCTTGCTTCAGCCCGTAAGTTGTTTTTTTTGCTTACTATTTAATGTGATTTTGATAAAAAGTTTATCGCTATGTAGGGTTGTTATTAGACTTAACTCGCTCCTAAATTTATTATAAATTATTAGTTAAAAATAATTTTATTATTGTAAATGATTCTATTTTATGTATAATCTTTAGCGAAAAAAAAACCTAGTAACCGGAACAATTTCCTAAAAAGCATGAAAGGAGGTTAATTTGAATTAAATATATTAATAATGTTAAACTTATATTTTCAGAGGTTCAAACGGTTAACACGCCTGGTACTAGAGTTGCAGTTAATGCCACTATTACAGTATCTTGGACATATAATGCTCCAACAACTCCAACAAATTCATCAGCCACTTTGTATGCTATCGACAATGTAACCAAAAATTCAGTTATAATTACCGATAAAATAGATCCCTCTGCCAAATCTTACCGATGGGTGGTCAATGTCCCACCAGGCACTTATTACCTTGATCTTAACGATGGGACTGGTGATAAGAACACAGGAGCTTTCGAAGTCTTTGATGCTACTCCTGGTACTCCTTCTTCTACTCCTCCTAGTCCTTCTGCTCTTTCTACTCCTTCTGGCTCTACTCCAACTTCGGGTACGGGTACAGGTACAGCCAGCACCCCCGGTTCTTCACCTGCCAAACATAGTGGTGCTGCTCCGTAAGTATTTTATTACGATTTCGAAACAGATTTTAAAGCCTATAAATAATCTATTTTTACTATATTTTATTTTTTAGGGCTAAAATAAGCTTCATTGGATCAGACAAACTTCTATTTAGCTTTATTGTAGTGGCAGCAGCAATGATGCACTTTATCTAAAATCGATCATTTATGCAATCTATTTTATTTCCATCTGACTAATTGGTAAATTTTTTTTAAAAAAATGAATTTATTATAGAATCTAGTTATAATTTATGCTTATATAATTTAATTATTTGAATTTTAATTATTATAAAATAAAAAGGCCAATTTTTTTTTCCTTTTTTTTTTTTTAATTCTTGCTAAAATTAATCAATTAACAAAAATAGTGATTTTTCCAATAAAATGTAATAAAATGTGTATCATCCCGTATAAAAAACAGGTATCAATCGATATGTAATTTGTATACTTAACGTCTATATTCTAATAAACATTCGACAAGAAGTGATTATGATAATTTTATGGGGAAAATAAATAGGTACGTACGTACGTACACACGTATGTAAATCTCATCAACAATTATCTTCTGATTTCATTTTGAGGTATTCAAATTTTATTATATTAGTGTCACATTATTTCGTATTTCTATCAATGAAAAGTCTACATCAAAATCTTAACTTAATGCGGCTTCGTAGAATTTAATTTATTATTGTTACCAATTTTGTAAGTTTGTACATAAATTAAATATCTTTCCAGATTAGTATTTGAGATTTATTTGCTATTTAACGTTAGTAAGCACGAACTTTTTATATATATTGCTTACCATATATATTTATTTACGGACTGGTTATCTGACCAAATCAATTAAATATCTTTCTTAAACTTGCAAATTAGCAACTTTAAAACTACTTTAAAATAATTATAAAATAACTATAAAAATAACTATGTAGCTGCTTCGTAGTATATAGCTATAGCTTTACATTTACTATGCGTTAGCAAAGCTCCTGCTTGCTACGTTACTAGAGGTGCAGACATTTAGAATTTTGGAGGTAGCTACCCCAGCAAAAATATCACGGCGATACGGCATATTTGCCG